CCCCCAAAAAAAAAAAAAAAAGTTCCCACTTTCGAACCAAAACCCCAAACCCCTCAACCTTCTAAAATTCTAAAGCCTATGAACCTCTAAACCTTTCTAAAGCCTCAAACCTTAGAAACCCTAAACCCGAAATCTCTGAACCCTTACGCCGCTGACCTTCGAAACCCCAAGCCGCAAAACCCTGAACCTTTGACCCCAGTACTTAAGAAATGGAAACCACAACCGTGAAACCTCGACACCGCAAACCCTCTAGTCTTAAGCCTCCCAAACCTCGCAGAAAGCTCTAAGCTGAAAACAAAAGCCAAGAATCCTACGAACGCTTCATCAAACACCAAAAAACCAAAACAACAACAAAACCCTAAACCCTTAACACCAAAAAAAAAAAACTAAACCCCAAACCGCTCGAAGGTTCTGGCCTTGCCTGGCGGGTGCCAGGATCCTCGAAGTTTCCTTGGGTCACCTTACGAGGACCAAAGCGGAGCTCTGAGGAGGATCCTGGGTCTAAGGCTTCGGGGCGTAAGGTCTTTTGGGGCTTTAGGGTTGTAAACACGTCTTTTAGGGCTTTAGGGTTTTGGAACAGGTCTTATTTTAGGGCTTTAGGGTTTTAAACAGGTCTTTTGGGCCTGTTAGGGTTTTGAATAAGTCTTTAGGACTTCAGGGCTTGAAATAGGTTTTTGAGGCCTTTTCGGTTCTGAATAGGTCTTTAGGGCTCTGGCGTTTGAAGAGGTCTTTAGGGCTTTAAGTAGGGGTTTAGGGTGTAAGGCTGAGGAGTGAGAGGGTTTGGAGTTTTGGGATCAAGGGTTGCAGGTCTAGGGCTTTGGGACATTGGTGTTTCGGGTATCTTTAAGACGAGAGAAAGGACGAAGGACCAGCAACTCAACAGTACTGTCAAATGCGTTGAGGCTGCATGCAAAGAAGACCACTTGAAGTCGCGCAAAGCGCTGGACCAAATCGTGAAGAGCAAGCCACATGTGCACAACGGAACACAGCTCAGAGCTCAGGGTGCAACGAAGCCATTGCGCATGGTCTTGAAGAGTTCGCACTCTGTTGACCTGTGAAGTCGCTCTGACAGAACTCCGAAAGCTCTCGAGCAGCGGCCCCCAAAACCATACAAACGCCTCTAAAAATCCTTAGCACAGGCTCCACAACCCACATAAACTTTAAGCTTGAGGCCTCCAAAAACAAGACCACCCAGGCCACAGGTTATGACCAGGAGAAGATGAATCTCAAAAGCCGGCCGATTCCCGCAGCACCTTTGAGAGGCTATAGTAAAGAGTGCCGACTAATTTCGGGTTTCGGAGTTAGGGTTTGGGGGTTTAGGGGTTCATGGTTTAGTTGTACACCCAGTGAATTGCAGGTTTGCTTGCCATTGCCCGGCTGTCAGTGGTGATCCGCGATGATCCACCCTAAAGCCTACATGCCTTAATCTGCCGCAGCCCCGCCTGCGGAATTTCTCCGAGTTCACGGCAAAGTATGCTCCTCTGCCGGATGCACCGATCTTCTAGCTAGACAGATAGGTAAATAGATAGACCTGTGCCTATAATAGATAGATAGACCTGTGCCTGCACATTCATGACGTGGTGTGCGCGTAAGTGTAATTCTGTGTAAATCTAAAAAATTGTACGCACTAAACATACATACATGTCAGTATATGCACGTACATACGTATGGGATTGTGTGTGTGTGTGTGTGCTTAGTTTTTCAATCACTTGTCTGCGGGCAGCTGAGCCCTCGAGACTCACTGCCACCAACAGGCGCTAGATGTACTCCGTTTGGTTCACTTCGTTCTGAAGACGGGCTTCAATAGATCTACACGCATGCATGCCATGTCCTCCGCTCTCGTAGTCTGCAGGCTCATCTGAGGAGACCATGAAACTAACCTGGCGATTTGGATGAGCCCAATCCTAGTCAAGGCTCAGCCATCTGAAGCAACGACAAGAGATGCACATTACAAACGAAGCACTGAGCTCGTTGCCCCCGACGGGTCGAGACATACCACGAACTTCTCAGAGCCCGGCGGGAGCAGGACATTTCCTGAAGGCTACTGATTAAGCTTCGCAGGTCTTCGGGTACCAAAATGTGGGCTTTCAGTGGCTGAAAGTATTGCAAGACTCAGACCAGAGCTTCTTGAAGCACGGCTTCAAGTAGGGAAGTCTGTGCACAGGGATCATCTTCCGTTGCTGAGCGTTGCCTTCCCTAAAGCCCTTGAAGGAATTCTCAATGCTGAATCTCCTCGGCAACCTGCCATGTACCCTTGGTGCACTGAAACACTTCTTGGTCCTATTCCCTGACATGTCGGCGAACCTGCTCAAGCCCGTGTGGAATGGAGCAACCAAGCACCGCGCGCGATCAAACGCTCTGGGCTGACACCGTCCCAGATGCCAAGGCGATGTAGAAGAGGCGTTATCATCCTCAAGGGAGGGTTTCGGGATTAGGGTCGAGAGACTTCGACGGGGCGGTTGAAACAACATACAGGATAAGCAACTGCGAAGAAGACATTGAAATTCTGCAATCTCGGCTTCAACCTCGAGCTATGCGGATATCGGCATCGCATGACCTGTACTCCGAGAGATGTACGTACGACACACATGAGGTACCTGGAGCGAATGTTTTCCAACAAAGCCTCCAGACAACTCGCAAGCGCGCGACGTGGTGCTGCTACGATAAAATCCCATAACAGCAAATCATATTGCATTATCATATACTAATACTATTATAATTATAAGCTATCATATACTAATATTAATATAAAGCTACCATAACAGTCTTGCTCTGACTGAACAGCGCCGAACTCCGCAAAGTTGGCCCTCGAGGCTTCGGCACTGAGCAGCCAAAGTCCACTCCGAGGTATTCGGCACCTTTCGCGAAGCTGACATGTGGGTAGTTCTCTAAATTCGGGCCCCTTTTTAGGTCCCCAATATTCATATAGTACGGCACCCTTAAAAAAAGGACCCCAACAAGGAACCCTAATTTAGAGA